GATATTTTATTCAACAATTAATTAATACATTATAATTTAATTTCAACTTAACTATAAACTTATTTTCTACACGTCAAATATTTTCACCCTAATTCAAAAATTTGAATCCATTGTTAAAAATTTGAGTTTTTTTTTTTTTTTAGAGACGAAAACTTTAATTACGAAATTACGGAACAATTGTTTGTTATCAAGAAAAATTATTTTGAGATTTTTTAACAATTAAATTTTTAGCAATTTCTTTTTCAGATCTTTTTTTATACAGTTAATAATTTCACCGCAATTTCGAAATTAAGAATTTCGTAATCATCAAAAATTTGAATCATTTATTACGATTATTATTTTGAAGTCCTGGAAAAAATATAACTTTATTTAAGCTATTTTTATCTGTACAATGAGAAAAATGACTTGGTTTTGACACCTTATCATGTCACTGAATCGATTACCCCGTGCGTTGTCTCAGATGGCCCAACTGGTAAAGTGTCGTGCGCGCGAATCAAGAAACCGGGTTCGAGTCCCGGTCTAGACTGTCCGAAGTATTTTTTTTTATTTTATTGTCCGTGACAGTAGCGTAAAATCACCGTATTTCGACAGTATATCGAGCGTACAGCATCGGTCATAACATTGTAGATTCACTTGCGTATACACCGTATATATTCAATAAATTAATAGTAGACATCGTTCACAACGGTATCCGATGCTGACTGATAGATCGCTCGGTAAGAACGAACTTTATACGGTGAAACGACCGTGAAACAACTGTCAAGCGACCGTACTGCGACCGTGCTTTCACCGTGCTGCTGAAACCGCCAGGGCAGGGTCATAAACGGGGATTACAAAATATAAAAAAATATAAAAGCCAAAACAAACTCAAATAGATAACTAAATCTAAAGAAATAAACTCGAAAAGTCAAACAGGTTGTGATAAAGATAAAATAAACAATTTATTTATCAAAATCAATTAAATAAGTCAATGAAAAAGATTACAAATAAACAAAACACACGTGATACAATTTTAGGTTATATCAAAACCCCAAAACTAAATCTAGATTAACAGATGTCGTTAATCAAAACGAAAATACAAGAAACGATTTCAAAACAAATAATCTTACGTCGGTAAGCACACGCGTACCTTTCGTCGGTAACGAAGATACGATCAAAACAATCAAAACTGGTCTTTACAAAAATAAGAATCCTCACACACACTCTCTCACTCATGGTGAGGGTCCAAAACCGCGAACTACAACTCAAAAGCTGGTTCCCCGCTTCCCCAGGAGACTAGCCGTCACCCCTGGGCCTAAACCTCTACCCCGAGAGCGAATGGAAAATGTCCTCTTCACCCCCACCTACACGGCGTATGATCACCTACTGGAGTTTTGACGGAAGGTCAAAAATCCAGGGAAGTCAAATCTTGCTAAGAGTTCAAAAGGTACTTACCAATGTTCAAGACGAACCGAGGTAATGTCCCTTCAGTTGTTATTGATGGAAGAATATTCACCACAATAACACTCTGTCACAAGACTTGCTTTTCCCGTGATAAAATTTTGGACTTTATCATTTTCCCAAAAACCCACTTACAACGGACCGGAATGATCATTTTTGCCATCTATACGGTGATTACAAACTATCAATTTAATTGGTATTTTCTTCATTCTCTATTCATTCGGTTCGTCAAATTCTAAGTTTTTAATTCTCAAACACAATTTCTTTAAAATAATAATCGTCATTTCTTTCATTATCCATCCATTCGTCTCGTCAAATTCACAATTCTTTATTATTTTAATCGTTATGTCTTTCATTCTCTATCCATTCGTCGAGTTCCCATACTAAAACTTGCTTGGGACTTAAAAAATTTTCGCTTATCTAAATTATAATAATTGTCATTTCTTTCATTTTATATCCTGTTGAATTCTCTGATTCAAAAATGAATTTAGTTTAAAATATTTCTTTAGTGAAAATACTCTTTGTGTAAGCGAGAGTATTTCTCTCTATTTTGTAATATTTGGAAAACCTTGTTTTCAAACAAGTGCATGCAGGATGTTTATGTAAGCCTGTAAGAAATGAATTTTATGACTCTGGGAACTTGGGTCAGTTAAGAGGACCTTTTTTTGTTACCCGTTAAAGTACTAGCTATACATATATATTTATGTCTTAGTTGAAAGTAATTTTTTATATATAGTTTAAGTTTACTTTAAGGAAAATAAGGAGAGGTTACTAGACCTCAGTATTAAATAGTTACTAAGATATAAGTTAGTCTAAGCAAAACCTTTGAAACGTAAAGACCAATTTCTTTCAACACGATCTCTTAAATAAAGAGATTATTTTAACTATAATATACATATTGCGTTTAATTAAATTATTTATTTATCACGATTATCCCTATAAATCCAACATATCCATTCGCCGCTTTCCCATACTAAATCGGCTTGGGACTTAGAATAATTTCCCAGTCTTTTAAATTCTTTTACAATGATTTTCTTTTGCTTGCTAAACTTGCTCGGCTATAAAATAATTTCTCCCACTTTGATTAAATTTAATCAAGCCTTCGGTAACAATAATATAATATAATATTATTAACTAACTAAATATCACAATAAACATTTTCTTTCTTTAAAATTATTTTAACTTACAGAAATTATTAATAATAATTATAATCATAATATATAATATAAACAAAATACTGTATACTTTTAATGAACATTTAATTTGAAAAGAAAGAAAATTTAAACAAAATAATCGTTTCTAATAATACTTAAATAATTAATAAACCTAGGTAGTAAGATCTTGGTCATAATTGAAAATTGAACGAAATATATACATAGTTTCATTAATACTCTTAGACTAAATAATACTCGCAACAATAATAGTAATTAATAATAATAATACTAAACGCATTGTTTTAAACAAATGAACAGAATTAAATCAATTTAAATATAACAGAAAAAATCGGACCGGCGCGTCGGTAGCCGCTATCTCTCCCCTTCTTGTCCCATCTTCTAGCCCTACTCCTCAGTTATCTCTGTCCCAAAATCTGGGTCTTCTTGCAACAAAAAAATTATAAAATCACAATCTAATTTTACATATCAATACTGCCATTCTAATACATCGTATCTCAAATTTATATAATTTTACAGCAGACGGTAATGACTATTTATTTTTAACATTGATTAAATAACAGATGAAAATATTTATTTAAAAATAGTTATTAAACTATTTAACCATTCCATTTTTCAAAAAAAGTCATTAAATTTGTCAAATTTTGTGGGATAATTAATAATTTAAATACATAAACACTTTCTATTACTATTAATAAAAAACTTATGTTTTTAGGTAATACTGGAATTAATTCTCTTGTCAATTTTTGCCGGCGTGTCAATATTGACGACAATAATCCTCTTAATCGATGATTCATTTATCGACTCACCGAAGAATAATCTTTTGATTGAACCAAAGAAAAGTACCATTAATTAATCTTACCTACTAATAAAAAATAAAAAACTTTATTATAATCATAGTCACAAATAAAAATCATAATATTTAAATTTTTGGATTCTTCTATTGAAGATTAGGTCATATTCTTTATTTGTAAATTACGACTAAAAATTTCCAGATCTTTGCTGATTTCACTGTAATTTCCCCAGTGAATTTTAGATTTTAAGTAAACAGGTATAAAATATATAAAATAATAATAATACTTGGCTAGTGGTAGCAATTAACGACGATCGACGTGGCTTTTGATCGTTAAGTATATAATATATAAAGTCGTCGAAATAATGACAAGGTATATCACAAAGTTGCGGCAATTTTCGACGACGTACAACCTGATACTTATAAATTTCTAAGATAAATATAAATTAATAAATTTATTCAAGTTATTAAAAAATGACTAGTGAAAGAATTTTTACGAAAATCTGCCTGGTTTTTTGTTTAATTGCATTGGTTAAATCCCAGACGGTGTTTATAGATGTATCAACAGGAAGGATCGTAAGTTTTGCGAAGGGTCAAAATTTGACTGATAGAGTGGAAATATCTTCACCGAATCATGGCGGAAATCAAAACCATTCAAGGTGAACCTGTCAGAACAGTGATAGTGGATTTATGGTGAGTTTATTTTTTTTTGTTATAAATAAATTTTTATAAATTTTACGACTATTTATTAATAATTATTATTAATTATGAATTGTAAAAAAAATATAAATATTAAATGAATTAAATTGTTTACAGTTTTCTCTTTCACACGAAATAATACTGAGTTCATTTCCGGATTTTGTTCAACAACCACAAATTGATAACTCGCTCAAACCCAGAGTAGGTGAAGAAACTACTCCGGAATGGACTTGTACCAACGACAAAACAAGAGACACGGTAAGTGTAGTCTCAGAAAAATTTTTTTATCAAATAAAAACAAACATAAAATTTTTTTTTTTTAATTCTTTGGAAGAATTGTAGGTCACTGAATGCGAATGGCTAGGTAATTTAGTGTCGTTTATGTACAATTAATAAAATAAAACAGAAACTAAAAGACTGTACCTATATTTGCATGCCTTAGCGCGGTGACACGACAAAATCTCCCCTGACAAAATCTCCCCGACAAAATCTCATTTTAAATAATTTTAAATAATAATTTTATTATTCCTGACAGTTGTGATGGTATTTTTCGTGTAAATATACACAAAAAATCATGATAAAAGGGCACAACGAGATTTTGAAGCGTATTTTGTCGGGGAGATTTTGTCTGGGGAGATTTCGTGGTACAACCCTTAGCGCGAAGCGCGCAGGTATGCTCTACTCTCGCCTAAAAATCGTGATTTCGATTAAAACGTGCTTTTTATATATATATATATATATATATTGTGTGCATTTATCCCACTATAGAGGCGCTTACGCATTATCGTGCTATTTTAGCTGTTTTATATATTTTTTTTCACATTGTTTATTTTATTAATATTTCATAATTAAATGAGCATTATGAGTCATGCACTTTTGGATTTTCCAAACTTTTTAATTTTTTTAATTAAAAAAAAATATTTTAAACGCTAAAATTTTTATGTTATTTTATAACTAGCAGACACCTAACTTTTTTTTTGTTCAAAAATAAAATTAGGTTGAAGCAAAAAAATTACATTTATGATTTTTTATAATTTTTTCTATAAATTTTGTTTTTTGTTATTTATTTGCAGATCATATTGAGCACGGAAGATATTCCTGACAGATCCCCAAAAACTACTTCTAATGATTCATTGAACTTGGATTCTGCCACCAAAGCCCCGTTCCCGGGGTTATTGTCCATCTTTTCCACGGCAAATAACGCCGATGCAGTATCCTGGATGGATTACGCCCAGAATACTACTACTAAAGTAACAAGGTCAACGAATGAGAATTTCGGCGAGGACCTTATTGATATTCGAGTGCAAAAAAAGAATTAAATGAATTTATTCTCTTAATATTAATATAATTCTAAGAAATTTTATATATTCTTCTCGGCATTACTAAAATTTAAATGAGTCATTTTATCAGAATTATGATAAACATCAAAAGTTTAAAACGAAAGATCACTCAAGTGATTCATAAAATTTTTCCCTTGTGAAATTTGATTAATTTAAAAATTAAATGATTGTAAAAATAAATTTATACTTTTACTTCAATAAATATTTTTCTTACTGAACAGTAACAGTAAAAAAAATTATAAAATCACAATCTAACTTTTTATACATAATTAGACTAGCAACCTTGCAGTCACTGCGTAACTGCCGTGACTTGTGAACGATAAATAAATAAAATTTTGCTTTATTAAATAATGACTTTTGTTAAATTGCACTGTACTTTTTTAATTATTGACATTTTTAAAGATATAAGCTCATCCGGCTGTTACACTCATCGAGACCTTTCATTTGAGTACCCACATCAATTTTTCATATATTCATATATATTATATATATGTATATATGAAAAATATATAAAAAATGCAAGTGGGTACTTAAATGAAAGCTCTCGATGAGTGTAACATCGGGACGAGCTTATATCTTTAAAAATGTCTATAATTCACAAGATAAAAGATCATTTCTTAATCATGTATCCAGAGATAAAGCATTTTCGAATGCAGCCTAAATACTTATTATTTATCATAATAAATTGACTATTGGTGAGAATGATATGAAACCTTGAAAAGGCACAACTCCAGGTCAAAACTTGGTGCGACAATTTTAATAACGAGTATTTTCTTAATCAATAACTCTCAAAGTCAATTCACCTTAAAATAATCTTATAAATCAAATTGAAAAATATCATCAATTAATGTTACCTGTTAATAATAAATAACTATAAATTTTTATCAATAATAAATTATGATCATAAATAAAAATCATAATATTTAATTGTTTGTAATTGATTTTTAAAGTCAACATATCCCTTATTCATGAATTAAAATAAATAATTGCCAGATATTTTTTGATTCAATTTAATTCTTCCGATGAATTGTAGACTTTAAGTGAAAAAATTCAAAGATACGCTGATAAAAAAGCAAAATTTTTGGATCAAGAATATAATTTTTAAGAATTTCATCATCTTGAGGCAAGTAAAAAAATATTTTCAAATCATATAAAATTAATTTAAACCAAAAAAATTGAACTTTAAGAGTTTTTCAACTTGATTCAAGAGCAAAAAATTGATATTCTTAGTTCAACAATTTTGCTTTTTAATCAAGTTAATTTTTTTTATCTATACATACATAATAATAATAATAATTATTTATTTAAATAATAAATGCTCTTTAATAAGTAAAATTACCGATTTTTAAATAATGTTTAATAATAATAATAATAATACTTAAGCAGTTTATATATAAAATAAATAACAAATTTTTATGTAGGAATAATTGATCTAAAAATAATAGCTTTAACACTTAAAAAAGGTGATAAAACTTGTGATCGATATAATTACCACTTGTTTAAACAAATAATTGATTCTTCATTTTTCTACGTCGTAAAAAACTACGTAGGTATGGTTACATTATATTATGAGTAATCTGAAAAATATATAACATCGAGTTAGTTATCAATAAAAAAATAAAAACTAAAAATAAAAAAGAAGACAAGATTGAGCAATAGGTCATACGATAAATTTCCTTATTTAAATTAATCTCACACATCTAATTGATATGTTTACAGTTACAATTTTATTTATACATTTATACTTATATATATGAAGTCATAAATTAGCGTAGTCAATATTGTTGCCCGTAGGTATCAATTATAAATCATAATCATGATGTTTGGTTTCCTATCCGGTCTTGATGATCTTCTTTCCAATGAATTTTCGACTTTAGTTAATATGTATAAATATAAATATTAAAATATATTAATAATACTCAAACAAATATAATATTTAACTGGTGGTGGCAAACATCGACCACGACCGTTGTGTCATTCGATTACATCGTACACAAAGTCTTTAAAGTGACGAAGCATCTTACAGACTCGCAGTAACCTTCTGGATACTATTGCCGTCATACAGCCTAAAAATTATAGACTTAAAAGTATTTATTTATAACGTAAAATATTAATTTTTCTATTTAAGTTATGTACTTTTATTTAATGCGTTGTGAATAATTAAAATTAAAAAATGACAAGTGAAAAATTTTTTGCGCAAACCTGTTTGATTGTTTGCCTAATTGCATTGGTAAGGTCGCAAACAGTGTGGGTAGACGTCGACACTGGGAAAATCCTCGGTGTATCGGAAGGTCAAAATCAACAAAATAATAATTACGGGCAGAACTTTAACAGCCCGCAGTATCCGTTTAATTATGGAGGAAATCAGCGACCTACTGTAACTGAGAATGTCAGTCCACTCTGGAATTGTAGAAACAGTCAGACTGGAGCTGTTGTAAGTTTAACTTCAGCTTTTCTTTATTACAATGAAGTTGACAGACATTAAACATTTTTTATGAAAATAAGTTTGGCAGATATTTAAGAATTTTTTTAACAAATTAATTATGGGAAAAAAAAAATTTAGAAAAAAAAATTGACAGAAATTTTAAAAAATTAAAAATGCAATTTTTTTTTAAATAATTTTTCAAACCAAATTTGTTTGTTAGAAAAAAAATTAAAAAATGGTCGAGACTGCTAACTTTAATTTCATTAATTTAGCAGATATTTAATAATTTTAAGAATTTTTTTAACAAATTAATTATGGCAAAAAAAATTGTAGAAAAAAATTGACATATAGAAATTTTAAAAAATTAAAAATGCAATTTTTTTTTAAATAATTTTTCAAACCAAATTTGTTTGTTAGAAAAAAAATTAAAAAATGGTCGAGACTGCTAACTTTAATTTCATTAATTTAGCAGATATTTAATAATTTTAAGAATTTTTTTAACAAATTAATTATGGCAAAAAAAATTGTAGAAAAAAATTGACATATAGAAATTTTAAAAAATTAAAAATGCAATTTTTTTTTAAATAATTTTTCAAACCAAATTTGTTTGTTAGAAAAAAAATTAAAAAATGGTCGAGACTGCTAACTTTAATTTCATTAATTTAGCAGATATTTAATAATTTTAAGAATTTTTTTAACAAATTAATTATGGCAAAAAAAATTGTAGAAAAAAATTGACATATAGAAATTTTAAAAAATTAAAAATGCAATTTTTTTTTAAATAATTTTTCAAACCAAATTTGTTTGTTAAAAAAAAATTAAAAAAATGGTCTAGACTGCTAACTTTAATGTCATAAATTTTTTTAGAATTTTATGGAAATTAAATTATTATAAAAATAATTTAATTAAAAAATTCCACTTGTGAAAATTAATAAAAATTTTTAATCAAAATTAATTTAACAGATATTTGATAATTTAAAAAATTTTTTTGACCAACGAATTATTGCAAAAAAAATTATAGAAAAAAATTGACATGTAGAAATTTTAAAAAACAAAAAATGCTATTTTTTAAAAATAATATTTCGGAACAAATTTATTTGTCAAAAAAAAAACTTAAATATAATCAAGTGACTGCTAAATTTAATGTAATAAATTTTTAGAAGCATTTTTTTATTATAATTGATTTGTTAAAAAAATTTTTTAAATTGACAACTGACGGCTAACTTTAGTATCATTTGTTTTTTAATCATACTGTCAATAATATCTGACTGATTTTTTTTATTATTCTATTTTTAATGCAAAAAAAATATTTAAAAGTTATTAAAATTAAATTAGCCGATATTTGAAAATTTTTATAATTTATTTTATTAAAAAATAATTTTTAAAAAATTCAAACAAAAATTTTCAAATTCTCAAGTGATTGCTAACTTTAATATCATAATATTATGACACCATTTTTAATTTGTTCAGTTTATTATAATTAAAAAATTAATGTCTAAAAAATTTTAATAAGAAAGAAGACAAGTATGCATTTTTATAGTCAAAAAAATTTTTTTTTTCTTCAGAAATATTCTAAAAATTATCAGACGTCTTAATTTAAGTATTATTTTTTTCAAAAAAATTTTTTTGAGTACACTTATTGTTAATTTCTATATTCATGTATTTCTAATAATAATAATAATAATAATAATAATTTTTATTTTTATTTTCTAAAACAATACACTGAACCCTGCAGCAAAGCCTTTAAACGAGTTCCATTAGAAAAAAAAATAACAATTACATTATATTTAATAATAGTACTTAATTATTAATGAAATAATTAATAATTAATAATTTTTAGTAAAATATTTAAATATTATATAAATTGAATTACTTCCAGATTCCTATTTCGAATGAAGTAATGGTGAGCACATTCCCGGAAATAATTCAACAATCTCAACGGGCTAACTTCCCTAGAAACAATTATCCTAATTATCACCGTAGACGTCAGTATGACTCGAGCCAATACAGACAATATGAGTTTACTGATAACAGAGGAAAACGCAGTACTTTAAACCCGGAATGGGTTTGTACGAATACTAAAACTGGAGACATGGTTAGTATATTTTTTTTATTTATATCTTCTTTTAAAAAAATTTTTTTTAAACTAATAAAATCACTATAAAAATACCCAATAATTTTCTTGTAATTATATTATTAAAAAAAAAAAAAAAAAAAAAAATTAATAATTTTATTATTGTAATTGCAGTTAATAATCGCTAGTGAAGCAATGTCCGACAAATTTCCAGGAACTAATCAACAAAATACAAACAACCAATATTCAAGTCCTTATCCAAACAATCCGTGGTTAAATGGTCAAAATTCACCAACACAACAGCCTGGACAAAATATTGACCAAAATCAACCGAATTGGGGACAAAATAATATTAATAATAATAATAATCAAAATCCACCGAATTGGAACCAAAACCAACCAAACTGGGACCACAATGGTCAAAACATTCCAGGCAAACAGCCCGAGCAAAATGTTCCTCAAAACCAACCAAACTGGGGACAAAACGATCAAAATAATCTTCCAAATTGGGGAAGCAATCAGAATGATAATTCTGTTACTCGTCCGAGTGTTACAGTAACTCCAAGACCTACTACAGAAGAACCTGCTATTATTTTGACGACGAAGAAACCATTCCCGACATTGAACCCAGACATTGATTGGTTGCAATACATCCAGCCGACTACAAAGCCAACGATTACCACTTCTTCGACAACGACGACTAAGAGACCGAGTTTAACTCAAGCGATCGATGGTGAAGGAATTATTATGCCTCGTGGAGGTTTTGAACAATAAATTAATTAAAAAAAAAAATAAAATTGTCCTCTTAATCGACAAGAGTGATAAATTTCTATAATTTAAGTTAGTAACCTTGCAGTCACTATGTGACTGCCGTGACTTGTAAACTATAAATAAATAAAATTTTACTTTATTAAATAATGACTTTTGTTAAATTGCACTGTACTTTTTTAACTACTGACGTTTTTAAAGATATAAGCTCATTCCGATGTTATACTCATCGAGAGCTTTCATTTGAGTACCCACATGCATTTTTATATATTTTTAATATATACATATATATAATATGTATAAATATATGAAAAAATGATGTGGGTACTTAAATGAAAGGTCTTGATGAGTGTAACATCGGGATGGGCTTATATCTTTAAAAATGTCAATAGTTCACAAGATACAAGGTCATTTCTTAATTATGTTAAATTGCACTGTACTTTCTTAACTATTGATCTTTTTAAAGATATAAGCTCATTCCGATGTTACACTCATCAAAAACTTTCATTTGAGTACCCACATGCATTTTCATATATTTTTCATACATACATATATGTGATATATATAAATATATGAAAAATTGATGTGGGTACTCAAATGAAAGGTCTCGATGAGTGTAAC